CTTAGATCAAATTTGGTTAGAAAAAATAAATAAAATAAAAAGCTGTATGGAGGTTTGGAAATCAAGAGATCTCACATTTACGGGAAAAGTTTTAATTATTAAATCTTTTGTATTGTCTATGATTGGATACGAAATTGAAATGAGAGGTATTCCAGATATATACGAAAAACAAATAAATAATATTATATGGTCCTTTATATGGGACGGGAAAACAAACCAAATCGCAAGAACAGTGTGCTGTTTACCGAAAGAAAAAGGGGGGATAGGAATGATAAACTTAAGAGACTTTATTAAATCAAAACAGGTTAAAAGTATGTACAGTATTGTAAACTCAAAAATACAAAAAATGGAATGCAATAGGTAAATACTGGTTAACGCCACTACACGAAAAATATGATACAGACTTTTTTATATGTTCTTGTTCGGACACTAGAGGTCTTAGTCAAATAAAAATGTCTAAATATTATAAAGAACTTTTAATTTCCTGGACTGACTTACAGAAAACCCAAAAATCTGTTACGAAAGAGGACCTTTTAGAAGAAAATATATTCGGCAATTGTAAATTTAAGTTCAAGGGTCATGCCTTATATTATGCAAATTTTGCCTCCAGTGGAATAAAAAAAATAAAAGATATATGGGACTTAAATAATGAATCCTTTAAAACTTCTTTTGAAATTTTTAACAACCTTAAAGATAAAAGGAACTGGATAGCACAATATAGCCGCATTAAAGCTTCGTTAACGCCTCAACAAATTGGCCTTTTAAACACAGACCCCATCATGCAAAGTCATTCCGATAGACCTATGAAAATAATAAATTCTTGTCAAATTTCAAAAAATGGAGTTGTCGTTGAAGCTAAAAAATTGTGCCTTAAAGATATTAGATACTTTTATGAAAATAACATAACTCCAAATAGTCAGTTTAAGTGGAATTTACATTTTGGGAAAGAACTACCATGGGGCGATATTTGGGTCACTTTGAATAAGAATTTAGCAAATAGGAAAACTAAACAACTTCAATGGAAGCTACTTCATAATATAATTTACACAGAAGAAAAATTACAAAAAATGAATCGGTCAAACGGAAAGTGTCACTTTTGTAAAGAAAAAGAATCACTGTTTCATCTTTTTATTTACTGTAAACTGGTGGAAGACGTTTGGAGGGAAATTTTTGAGAAAATATGGGAATTTTGTTCAAAATTGAGTATCGAAAAATTATAAAATCGGAAACGAGTATCATTTTGGGTGTCATAAATGCAGATACATCATATTCTCAAATTTTAGATACGGTGCTTCTTATCACGAAATGGGTTATTTGGAAAACTAGAAATATCGCAAAATATCAAAAGAAAGGGATAAGTAAATCGATGATTTTCAATATGATAAAACATGAAATGCAATTTTTGTTCAAATCCCTTAAACCAAATACGAACAATGAAGCCTTTTCTACTATGTGCGACACTTTTTGTATATAAATATATATTTTTGCGAGGCCAGGCCAGAGTAATGACCTCTTCAATACTGAATTAATTATCATGCATTACTCTCAACTCTCTTTATATACCATGTATTTTCTATTGTGTATGTAAATTGTGTATGATTATGTATATTATATACTTGTAACAAGGACAGGTTGTATCAACAGGTACATATTATTAGCAAATATTTACTTACCATATCTTTGAAATAAATCATTTTTGGGAAACAAAATCTTAAATCCAACTTTTATGAAAGAACTACTGTAACACATTAATCTTCCTTTAAGTTATTTTTTAACGAGTAGCACGTGGCAAAAGATCACTCGACCAGAAATTTAAAGTAATAGAAATTAACATAACAAAAGAACGGAGTGAAGTGCTATAAAATTGAAACTGCCTAATAAATACAGGTAGCTCTTTTGAGAGAAAAAAACCCGATAGAATGAATACTTTATTCAAGCGATTATATTTGGTGTGATATTAAAAATGTATAGATAGATTATACTACATGCACATTTGTACAAAGATAGATGATATTTATAAAGATAGAGGTGAATTATTAATAATGTGAGTTTTTTTTTTCTCATTTGCTTTTCCCCCTACAAATGAGCCTGTAAAAATCAGGGACCCCATTGTTGCTGCCATGGGCAACTAAGGGTTGATGTAACAGGTGATTATTAATAAAATATGGGTTAACGTATTTGGTGTCACATAGCCTTGATATTCAATTTTATTAAGAGCTGAGCAGAGTGATACAGGCAATGAGACGACCGATAACGATTGAAATTGATACTGCATTAATTGTGCGGTCACCATAACAAATTGGTTGACCGATTCGATTAGTTGGGGTCTTATTTCACTAGCGACAAGATTGTTTTAGCATAAAAGTATTAACAAAATTACGGAACTCCAAAGAAAATTGGAAAAGGGCGAAGTCCATAGAACTGACAAAATCAAACATTCAACTATATCAACCAACGGAACGAACGGAAAACAACTGCCATGTTTCTGACTTGGCACATGCATTTTTGAGGAAAATGATGAGTTATACATAAATATTTTTATAGCTAGCCAAAAGTCGTCTGATCTGCAATTGTGCCGATTGTGTCCTATCTGTGATTGCATTATTTTGGTCAAATTTATATTGGTACCGCAGGAAATCTAATGGGTTGCGAAGCGACTCATCCCGCCTCGCAGAGGCCGTTATTTGGCAGGGGGAGGGGGGCGCTCAAGGTTCCCAAGATATTTTGGATGAATGGTGCAAAATCCTGCATTATGACCGTCTCCTGACACATAAATTTCATTCCTGAAAACCCTATTTTTATGAGCAACATTTTGACTTATGCAGTGGCGGATCCGGGGGGGGGGGGGGGGGGGATGGGGGACGGGTTCCGGGGGTGAACCCCCTTATTTGACGATCAATGCTTTTGAATGAGGACATATGGTATGAACTCTCCTTTATCCTGGGTTGGAACCCCTTTTTAAATATGGCTGGATCCGCCCCGAAAATATAGAAAAAAGAATTTGAAATGTGAAATGTGTCAAAAAAGACAAGAATCCAACTGGATAGAAAAAGTGGAATATCTTAGCTAAAATTAATACTTTCACTTTGTTTCGGACACCTTACTAGGGTTCTATGCGTGCTCCTCCTTGGAAATTTTTAGAAAGAAAAATGGGTGCAATTCTGAATACCGGTTGCGGGAAATTAAGAACATTATTTTAGACTATCAAATCTTCACTAAACGTAGTCAGGGGGTAAATGGAACTATGTCCAGAACGTTGAACAGATTATCAAAATTCCTTGTACAAAGACCAAGAAATAGATGACCTGCGGAATTTCTCATACAATATCAAGTTTGGGTAAGACAAACATTGACAAATGAGGAAATCTGTGACACTGCGAACAAATCTATTTTCATTGTGAATATAGTCACACTGCCATAACGACAAATGAGTTCATGATAACAATGTTAGAATTTTTGAAGCAATGACTTGAAATATAGTAGCAACATAATGTTCAATGTTCAAACAAATTAAAATAAACGAAGTTAGAACATTTTCAGCTGATCCAGAGAGAGACGTCTTAAATTCACCATAATTTCTAAAGGCATCGTGATTAGTGTAGAAACTTGCATTCGCATAAAGTTCAACTGCTCACGCAAATCGTAAATCTCAGGCTAATGTTTTTATTATCTACATAAAAAAACAAAAAACAAAAATAAATAAATAGAAATGTGCATAAAGGTAAGTTTTTATTAAATACAAAAAAAGATATTTCAGGAAAACAAGCTGGTTATGGGAAAGAAATGCAAAGAATTGGATGCGTTGTGAGAATATAATGGAATAACATTTTCCAATAGCGTTAAACGGGGTTGTAACTCGTATTAGGACAGCCCTGGCTTCAGCAACTCATTTTTCTATTTTTGTTGTCAGCGACAAAAAAAAAAAAAAAAAAAAAAAATCTAAACTAAAAATGAGTCACTGCGGCCAGGGCTGGTCTATCATTATGCACTTTTCTTTCTAAGGATCAGACAAAGGGTGGCACATCGACTATTGTGACTGCTGGATTAATATTCACAGCGTATATTCGTAACGCTTGCTTTCAGATTTTAGCGTCACGGAACGCTTTCTTTCAGCTTGTTTTTTTCGCTATCACACAGTAGATTGTAAATTTGGAGAGGATGAATCTCCGATATCATGGCAAATAATATACATCCAAGTGCCTCCCGGAGTTTTTGCATATTTGGTCTTTTACTTTTTTTTTTATAAAATTTACTTTACAAAGCGTGTAAAAATGTATTTAAAGTTTCACACTTTTTGTTAATGACGAAAAATTCGTAAATTCCCAATCATAAGAGTGTTAAATTACAAGAGAAAATTACTCGCATTCTGTTTTTCGTATGTTTTGTTCAAAATGAAACTTTCTTTGCGAAAACTCTTTAAACAGCGGAGTTGATGACTGCTTGAGTGCTTATATTCAAGCATTGATTTAACCGTTAAATTTGACATTTTCCGACCGATTTATAGTGTCAAGAAATGTGTGTTTGGTGTTGTTTAAGTCGGTTTGTATTTCCATCGTACTGGTGACTAGAAGCAGAATGATGTGAAGTTTAACCATAAACATAAACATACTTATGAATAATTACCTGTAATACACAGGAAGCTGCATTATACAGGCAGTTGACATCGCCCTTCGTCTCCACAGCTAAAAATCGTTGATTTGTCTCTATCGCGGGAAGGTGGGCGGTTATTAAGATTTGAGACAACTCATCTATTGTATTTTCATGATTACTGTAACTGTGTGGTGGGTGTAAAGTGACTGACACTATTTGTGTTGCAAATAATTGCCTCACAACGTTTATTTCTCCGTCTGAAATTGCTAAATTTAGTTCTTCCATGCCACTGAGTCATAGTTTTCATACATAAAAAGTAATTTAACTGAATGATGTTCTGAAATCTATATGATTATACCAGAACAATTGTAGAAGGCCCTAGAGGATGCTATTGATTGTGCTAAGACTGTTCATGACCATGATCTATCAAAATCTTTTGCTAGATTAGATTAATATTGTTATAAGTAAAATCATGTTGTATTTTGATTAGTACCGGGTTATGTTTGATAACTCGTATAACGTATACCGTATATAACAGTTATACTAGTTAACGAACCTGTCCCGGTATTAATGAATGTTTGCCGTATATTGCTTATTACTCATTAATGGGATTTTCTATCTTTGTTATTTCCTGTAAAAACCTTGTTTTCTGTGTTCCTGTGCAAAAACCTTGTTTTTTTAAAATATTTTTTATAAAAATTTTAGGTACGGCATGCCGTACCAAGAAAAAATACTGATACGGCTGCTGCCGTACCTGCCGTACCGGCCGCTACGCCCCTGAATTAACAAAGTATTGCTCTATTTGGAGTTCATGCAATTCCCTCAGTCTTTGTTTGTTACCCAGATATATCTCTTTTAGATCCATTTACAATATGTGTACCCTGGTAGACTTTTGTTCATGTTGTTGCTTTGGTATTTATATATGTTTTACGCCGGATCGACGTTTCTTTAACACAAGGCTAATCAGAGGAACAGTTGACAGCAACTCTAATTAGTTAATTGAAGAGCATTAGAACCGCCTCCCTCCTCCAACAAAAAACAACAAAGGCAATTAAAGTAAAATACTTCATGCTTTTGTATAGATGTAAAAGAGAGGCGAAAGATACCAAAGGGACATTTAAACTCATAAGTCGAAAATAAACTGACATGGCTAAAAAAAAGACCTACAGACAAACAATAGTACACAAAACACAACATATACAATTAAACACTGAACAAAACGAATCCCACCAAAAACAAGGGGCGAACTCAAGTGCTCCGGAAGGGTTAGCAGGTCCTGCTCTCTATGTGACACCCGTCGTGTTGCTTATGTGAGTATAAACCTGGTAGTAAGTCTAAATAGGTAGGTCATGTAATTCTTTTTATATTTGTTTATGTATGATTTTCCTGAGTTCATATTCAAACATTGACTGCAATCTATGTGTTTTTTCAATGCCGTTTCCAATAATTGATTAAACTACATATTTCAACAGAAATAAGAAGATGTGGTATGCGTGCCACTGAGACAACTCTCCATCCAAGTCACAATGTGTAAAACATAAACCATTATAGATCAAAGTACGGAACCTTGGCTCACACCGAACAGCAAGCTATAAAGGGCCCAAAAATGACTAGTGTAGAACAATTCAAACAGGAAAACCAACGGTCTAATCTATAAAAAAAAACGAGAAGCGAGAAATACTTATAAACCACATCAACAAACGACAACCACATCAGGTTCCTGACTTAGGACAGGTGCAAACAGATGCAGCGGGTTTAAACGTTTTAACAGGCTCCGACCTTCATCCTAACCTTAAACAGTAGTATAACATTACAACATAGAAAGACACACTATAAAATATCAATTGAAATGGCTTAACTCGTTCAAAAAGAAATAAGTAAAAATACACTGAACGAAAAAAATTGATCTATGACACAATATAAACACAATATGTAAAACAATGTCAAAAAGACAACTATAATCTAGGACAAAATGGCGTTAAATAAAATAACATAAACAGGAAATTTTAAATATATTATAATTTTGTTGTTAGGAATACGGAAATATTTTTTACAAAATAAATTTGTTGTTCAGAGTACGAGCACAGAAGTAAAAATTTATCGTTATACTAAATACTTGGTAAAGGTGGTACATATAAAAAATAGTGAGACGAGATTTAACACAAAATAAGTATAACATTGAATAACACAAATGCATTACACATTGTGTCAACAGGTCTAATTAACATGAACGTACGATTTGAGAGTACTGGCAGTTACTAAAAGCTAGTTAAAAGCCAAAAACAATTAATAATAAAAAATCATGCATCAGAGACTAAAATCATTCAAAACACATCCAAGAAATTTAGTGTTTTAACGCAATGGACAGCCAAAGAAGACATGAAAGTATCGACAGGCAGTAGGATTACTAGGATTTAAGCTTATAAAAAATATGTTTAATGTTATATATAGATAAAGCAATCACTATACAGAAAATAACCGTGGATGTGTATTTAAACATCTCAAAAATAAATCGAAAAGAATACAAATATAGTGATGTTTTAATTTCTCGATGACAAAATCGATATTTGTGCCAATATAAACAATATTCAAAGATCTTATTACAACATTAATAAGATAACCTTTACAAATAAGTTTGAATAAAGGTTCAATGAGTTTACACGGATCACATAGTGATTTTTGCGCATTTAGTACAATATCACCGTAAAATTTAGAATTTGAAATGCCGTTTTTAATAAGTTTTCTACAGGTACAGCCAAATGTACTATGTATCTAAGAAAGAATTAAGTAACATCTTAAAGTAATTAATTGTAACGAAATCTTTGACTTAAAAATTTACCAGTGATGCATTGATTACGTTCGTTAAAATCTATGTCAGTAATGAATTCAATTCTTTAAATGATACCTTAAAAACAGCTAGTCTTTAATTTGTTTTAAAATAAATAAAATAAATTCTGCTAATGTTGTTTTTAAAATGCCAATTTTACAAAGACTTATGTGGAAAAAGAATAGTCATATTACTTCCATAAAAACCTCATGCGTCCGAATTGTCGTATTTTCCAACCCGCATCGGGAACGCATCAAGAAAAAAAAAAGAAAAAGCTTGATGAAGGAATACCGAGCCATAACAAGATTCATTTGATCAGAAAGGAAAATAATAGAAGAAGGGAAAATATAAGAAACAATTAAAGTAAATATAATGGTTCAGCACCAATAATCTATAACATAAGACCGTCCTTTATCATTTGTGAAGAAGACACTGGTTATTTATCAAATAGGTCTTGGTACTTTCCGATGAACACTTTGATAAAAAGGACGAGATGCTATCTGACAAAACACTGGTTCATTAATTGCTCAGGCACATATGACGTTTAACAAAGTCTGAGAATACGTAGCAGCTGCAAGTTGAGAAATGTATACTCCAAACGTGGTTGAAATTGGGATATTGCTGCTAAGATGAGGAAATTTATAATATCTAAATTGATATCGTTTTGTTTGTCATTGATTCTGGTACTGGGATCCCGCAGTAGTCAAATGCAATGTACAAAAAGTATATGTTTAAATAATGTTTATGTGGTTTTTTAACTAAAAATCTCTAATGGTTTGTTAATGAAAAGAATATCAATATACCTATATGTGAAATCAAATGATCCAGCTTCTTTGTTCTTCTTGTTTTTAACATGAATCAAAAGGGATGCCGACTCATAGGAAATAAAAAAAAAAAGGTCAGCAAGGAGAGGCGCACATTTAATTTCCATTTGAATGCCAACAATCTGCTGGATATGGCTACATCTAAATCAAACAAAGACGTTGTCAATGAAAAATTTCAGCATTCTGATCACTTGTTCCTCGGTGTAGCTTGTTTTATTCTAGGGTTAATTTTTAACAACACATGCCGAAATATTTTACCCTTTATATATATATAAAAAAATCTTTAAGAAGGGTTTTCAATTTTGTGGTACGGTGGTGTAAAGGGAAGTAAAATAGACGTTTTTGATAAAATTTATTTCAGAGGATGACCAAGATTAAAACAAAACCTAAACTTTATCAAGCAAATCATGATAGGAAAACTTATCTCATGAATATTGTTTCATTTGAGATGTTAACACTTCATATAAAGGTGCTGGTGGAATGATGCTAAATAAAAATGGATAGTTTACAATTTGGAAGCTGAAATCATCTCTTTTGTTCGAAATGTTTGTTCTTAACCGACCCTCATTGTCAATTTACCATGGATATCGGTATTGTTGGTATACTATTTTGTAGTAAGTCAAGATATGAGGCAGCCTTAACTGTCTTTGTGTTCTTCCTTATCACCATTGTATTACAGATACAATTTTTCATAATTTAGCCATTGAAGATGTACTATTAACAAACTCAGGGCCGTATATCTATTCAGTAAATGTAGTTTCCTTTGTTTTTGTATATATTATAAAATGACTACAGTGTGGAAACGTATACATCTAGTATCAAAAATGAAGCATGTTAAGGTCATTGGTATTTATTTCAAATTTTCCATTGTTTCTTTTTATTTATAAGACAATTGTTTCATTGTAAAGTTCAAAGATACTTTAACAATACAAAGATGAAGCTTTTATTAGACGTCAAAAAGTTTTGAAATCCGTATTTCTGCTGAAGGACATATTATAAAATCACATTGCAAAGCTTCATGAAAACAATCATACGCTGCGTTCTTATCTCCTGACAATTCCATACATACTCCAAGTATTGTTAATGCATCAGATGATCTTATAAATCTGTTATGACAATCTTCTTTCACTCTTAAATGTAAATCGCGTAACGCTTGTTGTCTATTGATAATTTCACCAAGATGATTATAGCATAGAAATCTAAGACAGTGAGACATTGTTATGGGTAGTATAGCAATGCAACTGTTTTCCACCTCTAGCTGAAGTACACCTGGGATTAAAGAGGAGTTTTTCATGTAAATAACACTATCTGAAACGGCTATCTTTATCCTGTCAATAAATGTCATTGTGGAATGTACATTTTGTCTGTAACTGTTAATACGTGCTTCACGATAGGTATATTCCATATTCACCAAATCAGGTGAGCATCTTGATAGAACATAATCTATCAGTTTTAGTGTTACAGCGTACTGTCCTGTCACATAATAAAACGACGCATATAACAACCAACCCGACACAGCATCTGTCTTGAGATAGACTTGTAAATGTTTATGATAACGATTGTGTATTTTGTACATTTTATTTTTCGTGGTTGGTGGTGGCAGTAGTTGTACTGCAAATTTACTGATTCTATTGTATTCATATTTACATACATCAGCAATGAACGCGGACAATTCGGACTTACGTAAAGATTCAGTTAGTGTCAGTAGTTTATAACACTGTGAAAAGTTACTCACAACTCTATAAATACTAATTCTGAAAAATAATAAGTCTAGCATAACGAATGAAGATTCACTCTTTGTACGTAACAAAAGATAATTTCCATTGTAAGACGGGAATACATTCCTCATCAATCTATCAAGTCCGTCAACCTGTATGTTGTTCAGTACACGTAGTAGTATTTTATTGTTATCTGGCGTGATCTTCTCTAGGAACATATCTGGCGTGATCTTCTCTAGGAACATGTTGTGTTTAGGTATAAAATAATTTGGACAGAAACAGTTGTTTACCCATGACATCAATTTATTCAAGCAGAGGAAAAAACAATGAAACAATTTAGGTATTTGAAATGTGTCAATATCCACTTCCTCTGAGACCCAGAATAAAGCCGTCTTCAGAAAATATGAACACAATAAATCTTTGACATCATCATATGTGTTAACGATACGCTTTAATGTTATTTTCAGAAGACCGTAACATAAGAGTTGAGTAATATTAAAGGAATACACAAGTTGTTTTTCTGCCATAGAGAAAGACAATCTCCATAATATATTAGAATCTGGCTTATTCCTAGGCCCTATGGGTACTACCAAACATCCGTATTGTTTAATCTTGTCAATCACGGAATTAGGGGGCCATTGCCTTCGATTACGCATTGCCCATGGAGTTGCGTTGTAAGGTAAATATTTACTTCGAAGGCAGAATGCAACATCGCGAGATTGATCAGAAAATGTTAAACAAGGGCCGTGTGTTACTAGGTTCATATGCGGATGTTGTATCTTTATACCATTGAGAAATCCATTCACTGATAAATATAAACCTTTTTTAGTAAATTCAATGCTTTGAGATGTTATAGGGATAGTTCCCCCTGCGGCTATTAATCTCAGTCGAGTAAATCCTGGATGATCATTATCTGTCTCCATAACAAATATAGTTTGTTGCTTCGAGTGTTTGACATCCTGTACTTTTGTTTTGAAATATTTAGTATTCCGTACATTCCGTATGACAACTGCTTTATTGATTACTGCCATTATATCTACGTCACTTCCTCGTAAATCTAGTCCTTCTGCCAAACTTCCACTCGATATTTGTTTATCCTCATTCATCGAATTAGCGACCATATCATTTACGATAAATAATCTTTGTCTAGTACGTATATCTATTTCAGTACCAACTGTCTTTACTAAAAGTTCAAATAATTCTTTTTCCTTTAATTCATTTTCAGGCCAAGGAGAGTGTTCTACAACATGTATAAGAAAATGTATTTATTTATTGATGTATCATAAAACTGTATACTGACGTCTGTACATATAACGTAATATCCCAAGATCTGTTTCAAGTAGACGATCATTACGGCTAGAGTAACCCAACTATAGTAAATGACACATTACATCGGCCTTGTTCTTATAGACATGAAGATAAAAAAGGTATTGGCAGGTCATTTGCAGTAAATGTCACAGTTATAAAATGTAAAAGATATTTGAAACAAAAGTTTGTCTACACTAAGCATACATTGTATTAGGAAGATATGGTACAAGGTTTTTAAATGTTTGGTTTGCCTTCTCAAAGTGAAAATTTATTATGATTACAATATCTTATATAAGCAACGAATAGAAAAATGTGTAGTTAACATAGTTATGCATTCCATATACAATTATCTAAATCTGTGAAGGTTCCTGGTGTTGGTAAATTAAAATAGTCCCTTCCACCTCACCAAATTTTTAGCAATTTCATTTCAAATTTGGGGTTATTTCAACAAAGATTCAGAAAAACGTTTCGCACTCGCTAATTTGAAAGATATTCTTCATGATTGTTGAAGATTTAGCTTAAGCCCTATGACTGGATTCATAATGCATTTTACATTATTTGTGTGATTCAAAAAATATTTATGTTTAAACCGTATATGTATCAATACGTTGAAAGCATTGTCCTAATAACAAATATTACATATCTGTATATATATAACATCAATCTTTAATTGTTCAGTGTTTCTGTTATTTCGTTGTTTTCCTCTTATAGTTGATGTGTTTCCCTCGGTTTTGGTTTGTGACCCGGATTTGTTTTTGCTTAATCGATTGACGACTATTGAACAGCGGTATACTACTGTTGTCTTTATTTTACCTATTTGTACAAATATATAAATAATTATTATTTCAAGGAAGTCATTTCAACGTGTTAAACATTTTTTGTTTCTGTACAGAAGTTTTTTATATTATCAATGAGAAAATCCCATCCACTGGTCATAGATTTTGATAACACAATGAGACGTAACCCTTATTAGTTTCTTCCGAATAACAACATGACAGATATTAAAACAGCAACTGTTAAATTCCAGAGCACCATTTTGTTACCCCATTTGCAGTTATACCTATATAAGATCAAGGAATGATTTCGTTCCGAAGCACCGAAATGCTACCCTTATTTCCTGTTAGGTTTGAAATTCTCAGTCTAGTTTACTGTATAGTATTTTATGAACTTGTTTTTTTTTCTTTGTCTATCGCGTTTAAGTCATTGTGTTGTCCATGTAAAAATAGGAAGATGTGGTATTATTGCCGATAACACAACTATCCACCAGAGACCAAAGTACGAAGATGCTAGCAACAATTAACAACACCCAAAGTAAATAGCTTACTAAAAATTGCCTCGAAATGACAAAAGTAAAACAATTCAAACAAGACAACCAACGGCCTCTACAAAACAATAAACATGATAAACAAACAACAAATCTGATTAACAACAAAAAACGACAACAACTTAGTTATAAGGCTCCTGTCTTATGATGTTTGATTTTAAGTTATGCTACATCAGAATCTAGCTCAAACCTGTAGTTGTCTATTTTGTTTTCAAATGTTTAAGACATTACAAAGTATTTACCTTTATCGCAGTCTGTACAATTCTGTAAGTATTCTAGATATTCATTGGATGATTTGTCAGGATATCTAAGATTGAGGATCCATTGTTCATGTGTTTTCCTTCTTTGTAGACAATCTTTATACATTCTTTCAAATTGCCTGATTGTCAATCCGAAAACATCGTTTGAGATAAACATCCCTCCTTCTTCATATTTGTTAATTAATGGTGTGTATTTGCGCATTCCACGGTAAGGGAAATGTTTAACCATGTATTTTTCCAAGTATGTAATTTTTCTCGATCCATACACATTTTCATCGTCGTCATTTTCTTGGTTTCTGTTACTTTTGTCCATGGTGAATCTAAATATAGAAATCATAAAATACATTGAATACTAACTTTAAGTTATTAATCGGTCCATTTGAAATTTATCACCATTGTTCGAGATTTAATATTGTAAACTGTTGTTGACTTTACTTGTGTTTAGTTATTAAAAAGCTGACAATTATGAAAATGTTTTATTATTTAATAAATACTTTGACCAATAGTTGTACGGTGACAAAAGGCCTTACACTTTCAATTGATACCAAAATTTCCAAAATATTTTTCTATTTTTAAAGTGGGACTGTTTAAAAATAAGTAATTCTTTACCTCAACAGTTTGTTTAACATCTAAAAGAATTGACCACTAAGTCTATGAAAAAACTTCAATTAAAGTTTTTTATTAAGTGAAATATTTTGAGATAAATACGTTTATGTTTATCTAACCATTGTTAGAAGTTTCTTTTTATACATAAAAAAAAATGAAATTGCTTTTGAAAAATAAATAGTTGTATGAAATTGTGAAGTAGAAAATATCTTGCATGTTGGAGAAGCACCTGCCTTTGTACTTCATAACATCCGGGAACCGGTACGTTCGTTTTTGGAAATAAAAGTATGTTTGAGTGTCTGAGTAGAAAGTTGATGAACCAGGGGTATGTCAAAGAACGTCTCGTCCTTTTTCTAAAAAAGTTCGTCGGAAGATACCAAGACCTTCTTGATAAATATTCCGTATCAACTTACAACACAAATAACACACGATCGTCTTGAAGTATAGATTCTGGGTACTTACGTTGTTTATCATCTTAATAAGTTATAGTATTCTTTTATTTGTGTTCATGAATATTACTTTTACTGATTAGTCTATGTTTGGTGATATCCATTTGACGTGGCTCTGTACTTATACATCCCGTCATTGAGTTAAATTTTTGTATTCCTGTCTTTCATTTTAGCTAATGTGCTTTGTCTATATGCCTTTTTGTGTTTGTTTTTATATTGATGAAGATTATAACAAAATATTGACTGCTGTACCCCTATTTTTGACATTTTTACCTATTATGTCTGTTTGTTTTGTTCACACATCGTTGTCAATATAATGGAATTTTATGCAACTGTCATACAAGTGAGAGGTTAAGCTAGCTATAAAACCAGGTTTAACCCACAATTTTCTGCCTGTACCAAGTCATGAATATGACAGTTGTTATCCATTCGTTTGATGTGTTTGAGCTTTTGATTTTGCCATTTAATTACGGACTTTCCGTTTTGAATTTTCCTTGGAGTTGGGTATTTTTGTTATACTTTTTTTTAACTGTTAGCACAAGTCAGACTAAAGCAGTATTTTGATATCAATTGATCGTCACTTTGTTTAAAATTAAGACACATTGAACATACAATGAATGTTGCCTTGAATATTGGTATGATAAAATGGAATCTAATCAAGGTTGTTTATATATTGTGGACACAAATGAGATGGAAACGATTGAACAAAATTAAGCAGACATTTTTTTTTTAATTCTGAAGCAATTAGGAATATGTTATAAACTTGACGTCTATGAAATGGTCAAATATCAATCGATGATTACACGAAGAGATATGTTTTCTGTATAAACCTTAACAATTGTTCATTGTAGTCCTGGACATACATTCGTTGCATTTTCTGGGGTTATTTCGTGTATACTTTCAAGCAGTAGTTTAAGAAAGCTGAAACAATGAGGGAAAACAACTTCCTGATAAAATGACTGTAAAGTACTAATTGTGTTTGTTCTAAAACAGGGAAGTAGAAAGTACCTTATCAAAAGTGTTAAACACGTGACATCTGTCAATATGATAAAATATGGAAATCGAATGTTATCTGGTTAATGAAACGTCAAAACTTAACTTTATTTCTTTGTTTTAATGTATACATTTTCCAGTGGTTGTATGCTAACATTTCAAATTAATTTGGATAATTGATAAGTTTTCTGGTCATATAAGTGTTTAAATCCATCATGTTCTACATAAGGAAATGCCTGTACCAAGTCAGGAATATGACAGTTGTTTTCCATCTGTTTGATGTGTTTGATCTTTTGTTTTTGCCATTTGTTAAGGGGCTTTCCATTTTGAATTTTCCTTGCAGTTTGGTATTTTTTGTTATTTCACTTTTTATGTCCGACGATCATTCGTAGGGGAAACTTTAACATGTAAATGAAACCATTCAAAAGAGTTAATATCAAAAGATTTAGCATGATGTCTGCTCAGGCAATTTCTAGAGACCAAGGGTGAACGATTTGAACATTCCTATAGGTCACCGTAAAGCTTTTCAACAATGAGCAAAATGCTTCCTTAAAAGTACCGAAATGAGAAAACAAGTAAAGATTTAAAATAGAACCAACTGTCTGTTTATATTACATCACGAAAAACAAACATGGTAGACTGCAAACATTGATAACTACATGACTCAAGATTCCTGGATTTGGAGTAGTGACTGGGATTAACACGTACGACATTCGTATAGGGAAGATAAAACAAAACAAAAAACTTCCTGGTAAACGAATTTTCAAGTACTTGTCCAGGTCATATCTGCTATTGTTTGCTTTGAAACAATGAGATGGGTATCTACTAATTAAAAGTATAAATCACTTGTATATATGAACTTTAAAGGAAATTGAAACACAACTCAACTGACTCATACCTGAAAACATCACTCCTTTTTTATAAATACATTTATTGGTGGGCAAGTGTAATGACACAACGAATTTTGGTATTTTTTGTCTATTGATACCTGATACGTTTCTTCCTAAATATTAGCGTTTTATGTGAGACGCTTTTTTAGTATTTTTTTAACTTTAAAAGTAAACTTAACAATCCAATAACGTAAATATATAAATCGGGAGAATTGGTATGATTGCCAATGACGCAAATATCTATAGAGCAAAGTGCAACTATTTGAGCTATTATAGGTCACCATTTGGTCATCCAAAATGAGCACAACCCATATTATAGAAATAAGGAGCTCCGGAATCAAATCGTGACACAATTGGAAGAAAAAATCAATTGCTCTATTCTGATCATGCAAGTGTATAATTACAATTTAAAGTTAAGGATGTGAATTTGAGAAATGAAAGTATGACGAATGTTAAACCAGACTCTGGAATTGACAGAAACACTTATAAATGAAATGATGATTTCAAACTTCAATGTAGAGAATGTTCATGTGCACACTTTAATTGTGAATCACAGGATGGCGTCAATAAAACAGGTTCAAAATAAGTGGCATTACTATTTGATTTATGTCGCCGTAAGACTATTTTAAATTAAATTAAGCCAACATTTTGCAAAACTCGAAGTGAACCGGATATCACTAATTCTCGTGAAGATAAACCATGGTTAAACGATGAATGCAAGAGTCCTTTTACATATCATATCAGATGCCTTAATTGGTGTAGTCATAATATATGCAGTAAACACCATCTGAAAGAAATTCTAAAACATTTGGACCTCAATTTAAACAGAAATAGAAATGACAGCAAGGAAATCTGATAGAAGGCTTTAACCGACTTAATCATTAAATAATGTATAGAAAATGTTTATGCATGCATATCAGTTAACCTTAATCTACGAGGAAAGATTATTTTACCACTTTAAACTAACAACGTCTAAATTAAATTCTGAAAAAAAAACCTCAAAATTGTGATGGTTTGCTTAGCAAGTATTTTTTTTTTTATCAAATTCCAGAATTTTATATGGCCAATGTGAAAGTACACGTTTTTTTCCACTTCCAGTGCTATGTTTGCGCTACAAAGTATGATAACAAAATCATTGCTTGGAAAGCTGTTTATTGCTGTTTTGTTTATTATAAAAAGTATTTGCAACTTTTGATCGAATGAATTTATGGTATAATTGATTAGGTGTACAAGGGACATTATGTTCAGTTATTTCAGTTATTAAGTCTTTGTATTTAAATGATCAATTGTTACAGTTAATGTGTTTTATTCTTAGTTTCCTTTTCAAAAATAATGTTGGTTTAATGAAAGGGGAGTATCTCCCATTTAAGCAATCAAAGCACGTAGAGAAGATGCGGTATGATTACCTATGCAAACCATGCAACTTACAAAGATTGGAACAACCGTACAGCTGTCCACGATGAGCACACCCATACCATAACCAAGTCAGGAATAAACAGTTGTTTTTCATTCGGAAGATGTGTTTGAGCTTTTGATTTTGCCATTTTATAAAGGACTTTCCGTATTGAATTTCCCTTGGAGCCTTGGAGTTCGGTATTTTTTTTTATTTTACATTTAATATGAAAAAAAATGCTTCCATGCGACAAAATGCAAAACACGTATAAAACAATAACAATGAACAAAACACAAATATGACAAACAGCAACAAAATACAACTACAAGATTACAGGTTCTATTGGTTCGACAGCTTAATAAAGAATGATGCGGTGTTTTAAACAAAAAGCAGTTAAATTTGTAAACAAATGTGTAAACAATTTTATGTTTTATTTGGGTTTTTTTTAATTCAAGGTGAATAACTTATTTCATCTTCACATGTTAAATTGTAATTGTTGAAAATTTAATCGGAGCGGGATTTCAGAATCTAAAAAACAGTCTGTAGTCGGTTCTTTAAATCAAACGAATGTACATTGATACATACAACTTATGCAGATTCAATTAAATTATAAATTATAATTGTAAAATACTAATTGTTTTTGACACTGGATTGCACTCGAAGTAAATATATTTATCCGTCCTTCAATTCACATGTATCATCTCAATACCATTTTATTAAAACATAAATAGATCGCTCAATATTGTGATTGAATGAAAGCAGTTATGCTATGCTATGTTTGGTATCCAGCAATGGTAAAGCAACTCAGCGACACAATTATATTATAAATAAAGAGGTAGACAAAGGTATTCATTAAAGTCATAGCATATATGCAAAAAATATAGCTCTAAATAGCTTTTAATATATTAAATAATACACACACATGAAAACAGGCATGGTTAAATATTGGACAGCACAGCAAGCGACACCCATTACCTTAAGC